ATTTTGAAAAAGTTATAAATTACTAATTCAGAACATTAAACTAATAGACAGTAAAATTGATATATTTAATTTAGGAAGAACACAATTTGTGTTAGGAGTAAAAACTTTAATTACATGAATAAAAAAGTTTTCTTGCACCAGAATACTTACTTTGAAAGCAAGGTTTCGAATTACCAAAAAGTAATGTAAATCTTCATTAAAAGTTCGGGTTACCCTAGCGATTCTTCTCTATTTTCGACCCTCCTTTTTGTCAATTAATTTGTTTTTCCTTCAATTTCTTCTCGTCTAGACCACAGTTAAATCTTGTTTGGAGCAGCATAGCCATATCTGGCTCTTGCACCAATAAACTTTACATTCACTCACACTCACTTCATTAAAGGTTATAAATTATCAAATTTTGGAAAAACGTTATAAGATGAGCAAAATCAAATGTTGAAAAATTATTCTTATGGAACGTTCATATGTTTATGTTTTATTACAGATTGAAGTTGATCTGACAACATCATATTTGCCATTAACAACATGTAGCAGTTTAATAATTTTTTCTTCACATCATTGGAAAATTGTTGTAGTTTAACAATTATGAATTTAATGTGAAACGTAATGAAATATGTTAAAAATATTTATCAAAAGTAAATGAATCGTATTTGATAGCATATACAGATGCCGATTGAGGATGCAATTTAAATGACAGTTTCTCAACCATTGAATGTAAATTTATATAATATTCCTTTCATGTAGAGGTTTAATAAACAAAAATCCATTGCTTTAAGCAAAATGGAATCTGAATTTGTAGTATTAACAGACACTGTTACAGAGATTACTTAGTTTCGCATGTATATGACCAACTTAAACTTTCCCTCATATTAAAAAGCCTTGATTTATTATGTTAATCATTCAGCAATTTATATGTTTTTGTGAAAATTATATTGTGCATATAGATATAAAGTTTCAGTTCATTAAACAACTATAAAAGAATGGAGAATTCATTATAAAGTATGTATTCAGCAAAGATAACTTGTCGAATTTCTTTACAATCCTTTATTATTAAATAAATTTAAAGATGTTATTTCAAAAATATTCAGAGTTCTAGGATTACAACTAATGGTGCCGAATGCTTTCTAATCTACATAAGGGAGTAAAAATTCAAATCCCAACTGGACCTGTAGGTGTACCGCATAGAAGAAATCCAAATTGTTTCGGGATTTTTTGTTTTGACTTAACATTGATTGTGTGTGTATATATATAGTCATTATAATTTATACATTTGGCCTTTTCCTTTGTAAATGATTATTTTTATTCAAATATGACATGCATTAGTGCAGGATTATTGACCTAAAATTAATCTAACCTTTGATATTGACTCTGATAGTCTTTTATTGTTGTTGCCAAATTGTTGGGAGTTAATTCCTAACAATCTGATTGGTTTGCACAAGAAAAATATTTTTGCTGCAGGAGCTATCATGCATTTAACAAAGTAGCACTTCATTCGAACAATGCGTAAGCAGCAACTCTGTTGACAGTTTGTCTCATGATCATAAGTACAGTCTTTATATCTTATATTTCTTTGCTTTGTCTTTTCAAATAAAGTGTTAACAAGTACAGTGCATTACATTTTGTTTACAATAATATTGTTGACAAAAATAATCGCACAATATCTGTTTAGAAAATACGAGGGAAGTGACACTTCTGAGGATCACATGTCAATGCTCTTTTCCATCATTCTATCAAAATTGATAATGAGACTGAATAAGAAGTTGTTAATAAATTTACTTTTTAAAAATATTTAAGGAAATAAAATATAAATTTCATATTTGTTTTGTACGACTTTATTTTATTTTGAGTAATTAAATAGCAAAATATTTATTTTATATATTAATATACAGATCTATAGATGTTTGTTGTATAATCTATTCTATTTATTACTGAATATTGTAAATAAAAAATTCAAGTGCCAAATTAAAATATACAATAAAATCAAGTAACAAAATATTGACCAGTAAAATGTACTGTTTATAAACTTTTTTTTTTTGCTTATTAAAATTAACTTTTTAGGAGCTTCATACTGTATTAATTTTTTTTTTTAAATAACTTATTTTTCAAAATTAATGTTAAATGGTACATAATCATTTTTTTAAAAAAAAGATTGAAAAATATGTCAAAACATGTTGATAAAAATATAGATAGCAAACTTTTATAATTATATGTTATGAATATTTAATGGACTGACTATTACTGACTTGTGCTTCTTTAAAACAAAATATGTCTTATAATTTACATAATTTGAAAATATTTAATTTTGAAATTCATTCTTTAATTTTAGACACTTATTAAATTTTTTCAAGTAAAAATTCATGTATAGATATTAAATCAAATATTAAAAATATTGTTGGAGAATGATTGTGTAAAATATATTAATTTTCATAGTTATTTATTTTAATTTTTAAATCCTAATGATTTCAATATAGAAATAGCATTAAAGATGTGATCTGTATTTTATGAGTTTAATTAAATTTATTGTTATTGTGAGATCTTAACAAGAAATCTTTTTACTAGATTCTTTTATCATTTTACATTAAATTACTTCCAAATAAAAATTATTATTATTTTTTTTTTGAATATTTTTCTTAATACAATCAGTTACATTAGAACCTACAAAGTATTTTTTCTTCACAATTTAAACGTGAAATTTTAATTCTAACTTTTGAGCTAGTAAATCAATGTTTTTAAGTAATCTTTTCATTCCTTTTCATATTCATTTGAACCCTTGTATAAATATAAAATTTAGAAACATTCTATTTTGCAGAATATGAATTATCCTGAACAAAAAGTTGTAACTGTTGGTCAATTCCGTATTGGTCTTTGTCATGGACATCAAGTTGTACCTTGGGGGGATCCAGATAGTCTTGCTCTTGTTCAGAGGCAGCTTGATGTGGATATTCTTATATCTGGACATACTCATAAATTTGAAGCTTATGAACATGAAAATAAATTTTATATTAATCCTGGTTCAGCAACTGGAGCATATAATCCATTGGACAGGTATAAAATGATGTTGATTTTTTAATGTAATTTTTAATGCTCTCTCACATAGTTTATAAAAAGGAGAGTTGATTGCACAAAAATACTTCTTTGGAATTGCTTCTAATTTTAAATTATAAATTAATCTTATAAAATATCTTTGATAATAAATTTATTTGTAATATTTAATGCATTTCCTTGTGCTATTTGTGTTTTTCACAGTTACAATTAAGTGTTTTTTCATAACATAACAACCAAAAAGTATGAAACATTAAAAAATCTGACTTGAACAAAATCAAGTAGTATCAATTTCAATATATTTTTCTTGTGTGTGTTCAATAGTGATCCAGTGTATTTTTTAAATAAATATTATATTTTTAGTTGAATATTAATTGAAATTTTTTATGTACAATGTACAAATGCTTTGCATTTGTTTGTAGGATAATGTTGACTTGTTAATTTAAAAGAAAAAGCTTCCTAATTTTTAAACTCATTTTGAATGAATGGTTAAGAAAATATGCTATAAAGCAGTGTTCAATTTTGTAAATGCTGTTTATAGAAGAATAAACTCTCATTAGGAAGAAAGTAATTTATTTTTAAAAATGAGCATGTATTTCAAAAGTTTTAATGAAGTAATTCATAATTTTTCTTCAAAATACAAAGTATTGTATTTTGAAGACTATTCTATTTTATATGAAATTTTGCCTTTTATGTAATTAGATTGGTTATTGAAAGTATGTTCATAGTTTTGTAATCTTATTAACCCTTTGACTTCTCAATTTGTGGACCGAAATTGCTTCTAAAATTATGTATTTTTTGTTGCATTATGCCTTCAAATGCCACAATTTAGTGGACAATGAAAGACATTGGTTGGCTAAAATGTAAATTACACGTCTAATACTGTATATAATTTATTTCAGTGATTAAACGTGGAAAAAGTGGGTAGTACTTCTCAATAAAGGAAGAAAACATATGCCCGTGGAAATCGCGGGATGAGGAGTCAGAGGGTTAAGAGTTGAAATGCTTAATTTCTTATTATTTAAGACTTTTTCAAGTTATATTACATCCTTGTTATGCATATAAATTGTGAGTTTTCAAAACATTTTTCTTACTATTTTAACTGTAGAACCTGTCGAAGATTAGAGAGGAGGAATAATTTTTAAATTAATTAGCTTGTAGTTTAATTGGTTGAGTATTTTATGGTGGTTAGTTCCCCTAATATGGCTTTTTAATTATGATAATTTATCACAATGTGTATAAAAATTGAAAATATTGCAAAGAAAGTATTGTCAAATGAACTCGGATTGAGTTATTGTTCAGTGATTCAAGAAGATATTGCTGTTAATTTGTTAGAATAACTTTGCTACCATAATGATTTTGAAAGAAAATCAATTATGTTTATTGCATTCAGTCTTTTGTTTTGCTGACAGTTCACATTGCCATGCATTACTTTACTTATATTTTTCTCTTTAGCTAAAATTAATTTTATTTTTATTCTGAAATATACGAGTGCAAATTTCATTTGAGTTTTTGTTATGTATATATGAAAACATTGCTCTATATTGATTAAGAAACAATTATTTATAATGTGACATAAACCTCTTTGAATCAGTTTTTAAATTAAAATAAATTGTTTCAAAATCTATTGAAAAATAAAAATTTTTACTTTTGGGCTTCCTCAAAAATTAAATATCCAAGATTGTGACTTATCAAATTATATTTTTATTTACTTAGTATTATGTTTTTCCTTTATGCTTTTTAAATAAATGTAATTAAAATAAATGTATGATAACTACCAGCCACTTGGTTATTACTTGATCAATCAGGCGTAATTAGTTTCCCTCCTTTTAATTTTATTTGCATGCCTTTTTGGGTGGCCCTTCCAGAGTCACCAAAACCTTTTGTAATCCTTCAACAAGTTTGAAGTATTTCTTTGGCCCTTTAGTAGTAACAAGTAAGTGTATCCGTGATTGATACATTCCGCAGTAGCCTAGTGGTCATGGTTTCGTATTCGTGACTGACGGTTTTCCTTCAGTCACGAGTCCAAGAGTTCGATTCTTGGCTGCCAAAGACCCGCCGTGTAGCCGGGGCTGATACATGTTAAATCTATCGGGGTCCAAAGTCCTCCCATTGAGGCATGGTGTAGAAGTTAGGAGAGGGGGATGCCAGCTCGTTCTTGTCATTTGACCAAGGTTCAAAATTACGAGGTCCATCGCCAATAGCCCTCATGTTGCTTCTAGTGCGACTAATAAAAACTAAACTAACTAATTATACATTCTTAAATTTCATTCACTTAACATTTTATCTCTATAACTGCACTGATTTATCACAAACAGTATTGTAGCTTTTAACTTATAAATATTCTTGAGATACATTGATATGTAGATTATATAGCAGTTCAATAATTGGAGGTGTTGCACAGGGCTGGACATCTGGGGATGCAGTGCATCGAGGCCCTGTGTTTCCTGGGGGGCCTCAACATGACCAAGAACTAAAATAATTTACTCTTGCTCATGAAAACTTGACAATATTCCCATTGTTGTCAGTACGACAAAAAGTACATTTTATCATAAACATTATTGTAGACTTCTGAATTTCAGCAATCTTATACTAATTCTTGGTGATGCAAGTGTTTAGTTTGTAAAGTTTTCTTATAAAGATGTAGATGAAAAAGTAATCCAGGAAATTAGTTTGCTGCTGGATTTGATTTTGTATGAAAGGGATGTAAATAAAGCACAAGAGACTTATTGCAATACATATTAAATAATTATAATGAATTATTTCTGAATGTATTAACCATATTAAAACTTTTCTTTACATTACCAGCTACTGTAGCAAGTGCTGAATGCTCTTTCAGCAAATTAAAATTAATAAAGAATTATCATCAGTCAAGCATATGTGTAGAACACTTTAATGCATTTGCTATATTAAGCATCAAATAAGAAATTGCTAAACATGTAATTTTTCTGAAGCAATCAATGTACTGTGCTCTTTATAGAGAAGGTCAACTCTGGTGTTGCATGACTTAAAAGTATTTTAAGGCTAAGTTAACATTTTATATTTCTAATAACTATTGATTAATGGATTTGTCTTTGAGATTTTAAGAAATAGCTTGGGCTAGTTTTATTGATTTTCCCATCAAAAGTACTACTTCTAGATTTTATCATTAAGTTAACAAAAATTAATGACTATAAAAAAAAATAAAGAACTATTTCTTTTTATGTATTGGTAGGAAATCTAAGATTTGAGTATTAGAATGTAGCTATTATGTAGTGTTAATTTTCTTAGTAAAAGAGGCTAATGCAGAGAATTAAATAAAGTTAGTTCGCTCAAATATAAACTCGTATTTGTATAGAACATTTTATTTATCTGTCATTATTATTTTTGGTTTTGTATTTGAGTTAATTTTGTGTTTTGAAAGGTGTCAGCACAAAAAATTAAAATATTTTTAAATTATAAACTACATAAAAATATTAATTATGTTTAAGAAATCAATCATAGCAGGTAATGTTTAATTTGAAAGCTTGGAAAACTTGATTTTCTTTCAGAATAATCGGATTTTAGCCATTCTATAAAATCTATTATAAATTAATCCTGTTAGAAAGTCATTTTAAATATATATATATATATATATATATATATATATATATATATAAATGTGATAAAATTATGATGTAACCAGTTGCTTCCCTTCAATTGACTTTTTTATTACCGTGAAAGAAGAAAAAGCATACATGAGATATTTGCTAAAGTAAATGAGATTCTCTCTCTTTTTATAACCAAATTGTAAAGCTATCAATTGTAAATGATTAAATAAATTGTAAAATAAAATATCAAGCCTGAGTAGATGTGCTTTTCAGAAATCGAGAGTGCTTTTGTAAGGAAAGAAATTCTATTCAAAAGTGTTTGAGTGAAAAATTTCAATACATCATAAGAATTATGTTGGAATGAAATCACTATTTGTTAAAATTTAGAGTGATTAGATACATATAAGAAATGTAAAGAAAGTATTTTTGTATAAATAAAAGAAACTTTTAAACTTTAAAGTGTTTATGGTTTTTAAGGGAAAAAAAATTGCTCATAAGAATGATATGAAATAATGAATGCTATAATATTTATTAAGTTGTAAAAAATGTGTAGCTTTTTTTAATGTTTTAATACTTTAAAAACACTTAATCGTTGCATTATAGTTTGTGAAATATTGATGCTAAAATTGTTATGTATGTATGAAGTATTATTATTTATTCTTTTATTTTATAGTGCTGTCATCCCTTCATTTGTTTTAATGGACATTCAGTCAGCAACTGTAGTAACTTATGTATATCAACTGGTAGGAGATGATGTGAAAGTGGAAAGAATTGAGTATAAGAAAGCATGATGAGGAATTGAGATGTTTTTACTGGAACTATAATATTCCATATAACCAATCACGGTTGTTGTACATAATACATGTAATTAAAGTAATTCCATTTACTGACAAAAATGTTCAGATGTTATAATTAAAGTGTCAAGTATTGTTATATGATTTTTTGCATGTCATATTTTTGAAATAATTACACACTACAGTAACAAAAAATCAAGATTCAATGAAAAAGCTTAAAAGACAATATGCATGATTTTAATGGGAAATACGACATTTTCTATATATATGTGTATATATGTATATATTTTTATGTATATATATTTATATATATGTATGTATATATTTATATATATGTATGTATATATATATATATATGTATATATATATATGTATGTGTATATATATAAAATTGACTTGGCCTTATTTTATTTCTTAATTAATGTTTAAATTTTTTTTAAAATTTAAACATGCATTTGTTGAATTAAAAAATAAATTAGTTTTACCCTCTGTGTGCATATTAAAGTAAGAGAATAAAATATACATTTGTTTCATTAATAACAAGTAGTTAAATTTATTTCAGCTTTTATTTTAAAATGCATTAAATTTAAATTGTTCACTTTTTTCTGTAAATTTAAAAGCTGTTTTTATTCTCTTTAATTAAAGTGGAATTTAAATCTAGTTGTAATTTTTTTCTTAATTGAGGTAGAAAAATTTGCAGAATGAAAGAGTATTTCTCAATAATTATTGCTCACAGAATGCATTGTTACAAAGGTAGGCTGAAGGAGGAGGATCTTTTGGTGTCCAATTACCTAATATTTTTATGAAACTTGTGTATTTAAATAGTAAATAAAATTTTGTACATTGTAAAATTAATGTAAGAAGTTGTAAAGAATGAGACTATTTAATTTTAAGGAAGAAAAATATCTCCTTTCTATTGGAAATTGTATCAAAGAATGCAGACATTTTACTAAAGCAGACCTCAGAGTCCTTATTTTGCATGATGTGGATGTCCTGAGAATTATTCTAATTCTCAGATATTCTTATTTAATTTGGTATAAAATTACTAGATCTGTCACCAATAATCTATTGTCTTTTTCATACCAGATTATTATTGTAACTAAAATTTACATTGAAGTTCAGGAAATTAATAAATTTTAAATTAATTTGACCATAGATATAATTTATAATTTAAATTTTTAGAAATTTCAAACATTCTGTGTTTATATCAATGTTCCTCTTAATCATTTTTATTGAACAAAAAGTATTATTTTTCTTAATTTAATGGAAAATTTTATGTTAGGAAATATGTTTTAAAAACAGATCACATTTTCATTTCATTTTTGTATGAATTTGATAATTATTAATCTTCAGATATGTTTAATATCTTGTAATAATAAGATTAATGTAAAATTTTTTTTTCTTTAATATGTTATGATTCTTTCATGGAGGAATTTAAATACACTTGACAAATAAATTGCAAAATTATTTACAATGTTGCAATTTGTGTTTATCAAACTGGGTACTCTAATTTTGTTATTAAGTAGCAACTTTTATATTTATTAGAAATTATTATGTAGGGCAAGGGTGTTAATCAATATGTCCTGTTATGATTATTTTTGTGGCCCATTCAGCTAATATAACATTGAAAATGTTGTCTGTCAAGCTGTGAAAGTATGTTTCACGGCTGAAAATATTAATAATCCATCCTTTGATGGTTTTTTAAATATAAATGATGAGATGTATAAATAGTTAATCAGATTTAAATGGTTTTGCTTTCAGGAAAGAAAGAGCAGAATATTAAATTTAATTCAGAATTTCATATATGTCATCAAAGTATGTAATTAAATTTGTATGAATATTTTATTGCTAGAAAAGATAGATTAACTTTGAATTTTCCAAGAACAAAAAAATTTATATGATCTAATGGGACCACCCAACCTTTAAGATCTCTTTCAACGGCACTATTTTTGGGGGAAATAATTTTCCCATGTGGCCCCTGGGATATCCTAGATATTTTTTTTAATCTCTCTCTCTCTCGGGGCGCCCCCCCCCCGGGTTTTTTTTTTTTTCAAATGTCTAGATCTAAGTTACACCTTGTTTGGCATAGCCTAGCCATATCTTTCTCTTTCACCATTAAATTTATCCATTTCTTCCTCTTTTTTCAATTGTTTTTCAAATAAACTATTTGTGGAACTAAAACTTAATATAACTTAAATATCTATTATATTTTCAATTATTGAAAAAGAGTAACAGTTATAATTTTAACGAACCCAAGTGTTAGTGCAAATAAACAAAAAATTGCAGACAAGTGTCAAACTTTTCAAGAAAAGTGGAGGTTTTTTCCCCCCTGTGAAGTGAGTATTACAATTACCTGCTTGATGTGTTATAATGCTATTATTGTACCAAAATTTGTACATAATAAGTCATCATTATGAACAACATAAATCAATGTATAACAATGATGAGGGATTAATGAGACAAAAATTTAAAAGAGCTTAAGCTGGGACTGAAAAAACTATTTGTTTCCAAAAATAACACAAAAAAGTGAAGTGGTGGGGCTTGAAAGTTTCGTCTTGTCAGAGTTGATAACTGAATGTGAAACCTTTTACTGAAGGTGAATTTGTAAATAAATGTCCTATCAAAGCTGCAGAAAATGTTTAAGAAATGTGAAGAAGTTTTTCAAGTAATCCCTTTATCTTGAAAATAG